TTGAAATAACTAGGGTTGGTGTAGGCGTAGTTTTATATAATATACCATTGACCTTAAGCATGGTCATCAAATTAGTGAATTGGCACAGAGGCTCTCATCCAATTGGTGCATTTTACATGTAAACATTTAATGAAAAGCTAGACAACCGTCCCCTTGAAAGTATAGATATAAGAAAGCATGAACAAATATGTGGTAGAGCATTAAATCAAATTTTTTCTTCACAAGCCAAATAACCTATTTTCTTGAAAGAAAGACTAGCAAGTAGGAAAACGCAGTAAAAGTATACAGCTTCTATGGCAATTTTCTTGAGAAATCCGTAGGATGGAAATAGCAAAGAAAATAAGATCTGTCTGTCTATTTGATCTGAGTCTAGCTGCTAGTGTATAGCCTGTTAAGGTCTTTTCAGTAGTTGAGCATTTTAATTCCCCTTTTCTTGCCTAACAGACATCTAGCGTTGGCTCAGTTGGCAAGAGGGGTTGAACTGATGGTTCAGAGTCGGAAATTTGACCAACTGAGCTTTCGCTGCTCAGTCTGTCAGAGTCAGATCCAGACTCTAGTGGAATACAATTACTCTACTGGTGGTCCAAATCTCTTTCAACTTCCAATGATTGCATTGTCTAGGAGCTGCATGAACTCTGACCTTCTTTTGCATAAAAGTAAAGCCACTATTACCGGGGTTGGAAAACAAAATACCTACAGTGCCTGCAGGAAGATCTGGAACACCGAAGAATTTTTCAATAGTCATAAATCACCCCAAACACTTTTCAACAACAGATTGATTTTTATTACTTTAAACTTCGAAAGACCATAAATTGGTCATTTTCAAATGAAAAGAAAACGGAAGAAGAAGATTGAGTGCTGTGAAGAAGTGGGGAACATTAGATTTCTTTGCAATTAACAAAAAAAAATTTTATCACTCGATCATATTTGGGATACTTACTTTATGGAAATAGTTGCTGTGAATTATAGATCCTTTGCCGTTCTTTGTGGCTTTAGACAGCTCCATTCTTGCTTTTCCTGTCTTAATATTGCTAATTCAAAGGCTTGGGTTGTTTAGCGACCACCTTTTCATATGCAGATTGAAGTTGTTATATGTCACATGTGAATAGAAGTGTCTTCATTTCATTGTCATATTCTAAAAAGAAGGTTTTATCTTAGATATAGGAAGTTACTTATGTAGTAAAGAGTGCGGGAAAATAACCGACCTGAGCGAGGCTCGACCTCACGACCCATGACTTTGTAGGTCAAGTGCTCTATTGCTGAGCTATCAGGTCGTGCTTTCAAGCCAACACCCAAGGCCAAGTCATTCACCCGCACTTTGAAGTTACTTATGCTAAGACAAGTATGTTAAGTATATTGTGATAAGTACCTTTAGAAGCTAAACCAGTTTATACTTAAGAAAACAAAAAAATAAAGCTGCACAAATATGGAAATTTTCTTTAAAAATCTTTGTTTATAAGTACATTCTTTTTAGTTTGCTGTTCAAGAAGTGTTGTGAGAATTGTCTCAAAAACAAACATTGACTTACCGTTTGTTGGGGTTACTGTGCGTTCCTTGACAACTACGTCATGAAATGTGCCTGAAAAGTGAAACAGTATAGTTGTAAGTGAAATAAAATAAATTAAACAAATTAGAATGCTCTTGGAAATCTTTAAGTCCTGTGACCTAATAACCATCCATATTGAACATGTTGCATACTTAACCATGAGGAAACTACTGTACCTGAAGATGGTTCCCATCCAAGAGAAGCTGATCATTTTGGGATGCCAATGATTAAGGGTTTCATGGAACCCTCCTAAACAGTTTGCCTGGGCATATGATGACAGCTTTTTCATGTTGTCTACTATTTATTTATTCAATATTACATCTTGTAACCTGTCATAAACTGTGGTACCTAAGGAACAAAAATCGCTGTAATAAATACAACAACCAACCTTTCAGGATCTAGGAACCTGAATCCAGAATAGGATGGGGGTTTGAGCATTTGTTTTTTGTCTTAACCTTTCATGTGCCATTATACGTGAATTTTGCCTGAAGTAATTATAAATCAATACACAATGTTAATAAACAACAATAACATTTTTTTAAACTAGGAATAAAAATTTTGAAAAATAGAAAAGTTGGTTTTGAATATGATAGTTAAAACGTAAATCTAATCTATTTGTTTATGGGAAAGGGGGCAAAAAATAAAAAGGGGATAAAAAAAGGTAGTGGAATGCTTTCAAAACATTGTTAGAGTTCTTGTTTTTCTTCGTGTGCCAATTCTTTAGCACATGTATGTGCCAATTCTTTAGCACATGTAGTGGAAGGTGGTACTAGTAATTGAGATCATAAATTTTATTAAGGCTTTTTAAAAAGTTTTTTTGATGGTTCTTAGCTAGACTCGTTTTATTTACAAGATATTTGTGAAAAATTTATCAAACGCATTTGCAACTACCTTTTGGTCTGTTATTAAATTCCCAGCAATATTTAGCTGGAAATTTCGACTTTTATGTGACTTTCTTTAATGGAGGAGGTCATTGATGCCTTTCCAGATTCTTTTAGAGTCATTTTTAAAATTTTCAAAATAAGACTGATAGCTTTTTACTCAGCTTTATAACGTGGTTAACAAGTTAACAAAGGTCTGTCAAACAATCTTTTGGTGGTACAAAACTCTTGGACTGACGTTTTAAACTCTAAAGGGTGTCAGACAAAAGCTTTGGTTTACTAAATGCTTGCTTTTTCAAAGCCATTTAAAAGTTTGTCACTAACAAAGCAAAGTAAATTTATAAGATTTGAGCAGGCATTTGCTAGTAAAGCAAAATTACAAATACCTGTAAATAGGCAAAGTTAGTCAATTGTGTTACCAATTGATAACGTAGGCAATTACCTAAAGGTCTTTTTTCGATATTCAATAGCAATTCATCAAATGAATCTTATCACAAATGATGAATATCACACGAGGCAAGAAAATCATCTCTGTTTGGAATTTAACATTGAACCACTGGAGTTTGAATTTATTGTATAGGAAATAAATAGCTCACAGTCATAGCTATCATAATGGATTTTCTGAAGAAGATGTCACAGGAAATCATTGGAGACAATAAAATGTGCTAGCAATACTCTTGGGCTTAGATGTTCATTGAGTTCCAATTGGTAATTCAATATTCCATCGATTCAGTGACATTAGCCAGGAAATTTTAAATCGGCAACTCCAAACACACTTGAATTTGGTGGGATTGCTGAAGTTGCAAGTGCTGGGGTCAAACAAACATTGATAACCTTTTGGGTAGAACCCTTGTTGTCATAGTTGTTGTGGAACTTGAAGTGGGCTCAAACCCTGTCAGCCTGACTATTTAATTGCAAAGACAGATTAATACAACTGCACTTTTTAATGTTGGTCACGGTATGAATATTTAATTGAATCAAAATTTTAACCTTTCTTTAGAATTTCCCTTAATCTGGGTGCTGCTTAAAAGCTTGACCGCGTGATCATCAAGTGGCAGTAATTGATTTTAAATTGTGGTTGTAATTGTGGTTATTGCACATGTACAGCTGGATTTGCCGAATGCTGCAACCACGTTGTAGCTCTACTGTATAAAGTTGAATGCGCAAATTCTAAAGGAATGATCGACCCCGCCTGTACCGATGTTGCTTGTTCTTGGAATGTAAGCACTCAGCGTAATGTTAGGTTTATGAAAATAAAAGATGTGGAAATAAGAAAGCACGAAGTAACCAACAAGAACCAAAAACGTGCTGTTCAGAGTGACTTTAAAAAATCTTTTGATCCCCGCCCATTGGATGTAAGGGGCCATGAAAATGAACGATTGGGCAACTGTTTCAACAACTACGGGATGCAAAACCATCGGCAGCTGTCCTCAAATGCATTGACCCTCCTCGTGATTACGATTGCCCACCTTCTTTATGGGAGATTGCAGATGAGATTCTGGCTGAAAATGATGGAAAAGATGAGCAGGAATTGATACATTTATTTTCAAACTCTCTTTCTTTTAATGAAAATCAATTGAAGGAGCTCGAGGGAACAACAAGGGCGCAGGGAGGCTCACAAATCTGGAGAGACCAGCGCGTAGGCTGCATCACGGCTACAAAGATAAAAGATGTGTGCGCCAAAGTCCAGTCTATTGCGTAGTCAAGGGGCAAGAAGATAAAAGTGACCCCCCTTCTAACCAGGTTATTCAAAGACAAAGACATTAGTGCTCTCCCCACCGTGAAGTATGGTAGAGAGCATGAAACAGATGCAAAAAAAGCTTTTGGGGAGCATATCGTAAAAAGCATCAAAATGGCAGATTGCTGGATTCAGGGTTGGTTGCGAGCCATTCCTTTCCTTTTATAAGGGCAACACCTGACAGTATTTTTACGTGCAAATGCTGTGATGGAGGGAAAGTCCCAGTGGAGTACAAGTGCTCATATAAGTTATGCGATAAATGTATTGGTATTTATAATGTATTGGATGCATTCAAGGAGTTAGACTATCTAGAGGAAAGAGAGGGTAAAATCTGTTTGAGCAAAAGTCACAAGTACTACAGTCAAGTCACCACTCAAACTGCACTACTTGGGGCAAACTATGCATTTTTTGTAGTATGGACTCCCATTGGAGACCGGTTTAATGAAAAAATTGACTTTGATAGCTCTCACTGGGCAGAGCTAGAACGCAACGCCAAAAAATTTTTTAAATCATATGTGGTCAGCGTTTTACTGAAACGAAGAGAAATTTTATTTTGTGCCACATGCGAAAACCCTTGCCTTGAGCCTGAGGAGATGGATGGAACAGAAGGTTGTATTATAGAGTGCTCAACTTGTTTACTATGGCATCATTGGTCATGCGTTGATCTATCCACATCTCCTAAAGGTGACTGGATATGCAATGCTTGCATTAGTAGTGCAATGAATGAATCTTTTGGTATTTGCTAAAATTTACTGCTAGCTACGAAATCAAACTTACCTTTTAATATTATATATATATATATATTTATATGTATATCAGTATTTTACATTTTAACGGAATAGGGATGGGTGCTAGCGGCAATAGCTCTCGGGGCTAGCGTACTCAACTGTCGACAGAAATATGCAAAGTAAACTTCCATTTTAGTGAGAATCAATCTATACAATAAAAGAAGTACATCATACTTTATTCTTTAATTTACTGTTCTAAAAGAGATGCCTTTAAGTTTGTAAATGCTGCACAAATTGTCACAATATCGTCACATAATGGTAGTAATAGAATAGGTAACTGCATCTTTAAAATTCGGTATTCTTTTATTCTTCTTATTGCCTTTTCAACAAAAATTCTCAGGTTCGCCACTTTAGAAGTAGTTGCAACGTCGGATTTTTTCATTTGAAAACTGCCATGGGTTGAGGGGGGGATGATCAATGTTGTTTGATAATACTCAAGGTTTTCTCGTATTTTGAAGCCTCTATCTGCCATAACCTGATCGTTAGGTAAAAGGTTTCTTGCCAGACCACAATCTTCTGTTATGTAAATGTCTGTTGCCCTTCCACCATAGCAATCTGACAAGAAGCTTATTGCGCCATTTGGCATATACCAACCAAAAACTAGTGATGCTTGTATTGGCTCCAACAAATAGCAGCAAGCTCTAGACTTGATGGTGTTTCGATGAACACTTCAGTGCAGTCAATAATTACTCTGCATTTTGGAAAATATTTCCGAAAACCATCAGGTCGATATCTCATGACTGCGCTTCTGTCTGCCCACTTGATCAAACCCCTGAACTCCAAAGACATAACTCGTATCCATGTGTAAAGAATAGAAGTCACAAGGCCAACCGAAACACCAAATCTGTAAGCGAGGTCCTGGATGAGTAGGTCAGATTTAAACTTCATTGAGACCAGCAAGAATTCTTGCTCCAACAGTAGCTTCCTCGCAGGACCTCGTCGCAACGTTGTCAGCCCTGCCTTCTGTGCTTCATCTTCGAATTCTACGCTGATGTCTTTTGGATTTTCTCTCAGGGTCTCCTTGTCGCCTTTCCAATACTGCATACGGCTAGCTACAGGGAACAAATGATCAAATACCATTTTAAACATAGCTGAATCCTCAAACACTGTGTAAAAATGAACTTTCGAATCTCTTGCAACCTGCTCAATACAATATTCAGGTCCAAGGCTAAAAAAAATTTGCTGGTTGTTTTCATCATCGGTTTTCTTGATGAAGCATCACAAGGAAAACTAATTTTTCTTGGGCTACGACGCAGGTTTGCTTGATCAGGTATAGTCTTGTCCTCGGAAAGCAATAAATTTTATAAAATTTATCAAAAAAATTTATCAACATAGAATCGTTCTTTGAAAAAGTGCCATCAAACCAGCCAAATCTTGATGGTATACCAGAGAAACTAGACAGTGGTGATATAACTCAGAATGCTCTGCCAACTCAGAGGGGTTACCCTTGATGATGCCAAACAGATTTGCCCGCAAACAATTCAGCAGAATATTATAGAAAGTTGGTTCCAAGAAAAAAGAAAGCAGTTAACAGCTAAAATTTTCGGAAAGGTGTTAAAATGACAACAAAATAAAGAACCAGTTTCTCTTGTTTCCTCGATTATGGAACAGTCAACGAAAAGGCCAGTATCAGTAGCCATGATATGGGGTATAGAAAATGAATTTGTAGCTATTAAAAAGTACATGGAGCTACGGCCAAATTCCATCGTGTGTGTTGTAAAGTAGGCAGAGAAGCGAAAAGGCATTTGATTGTATTTTTGAACTATTTATAAAAACATAACAAAATGAACAGCAATTTATTTAGCCATAAAAAACTCAATCACAGTGTCCAGCCTTGAATTATGTGCAACACGCTGTTTTTATAACCTACATAACTCGTGACTGCAGATCCAGGGGTACATTCCAACACACTCCCCAGTTTGATTGTGAAGAAATAATACTTTTAAATTCGAATACAATTGTTATACGATTACGAATACAAGTGTCCATATACCAATTTCTGAACAAATCAGGATCTATATTTACGTCTTAACTCACCAATAACTGCAGCTTTACCGGACTGTTGATTCTGAGCATGCGTTGTGGTATTCTGCGCTTGCGAGTTAGTGGTTGGCGCTTGCTTCACAGTGTACTATTGCTTTCCTTCATTTGCTATGAAAAAGACCAAAGTAATAGCATGACCGTTCTGTGGCTGAAGAATGAGGCTCCTCTCATGCCGTGGTATATTGGCTTTTGATGAAAGGTTTGATTGAATGTTGCTTCACTTCACTTCAATTCACACTCCTGTGACTATCGCTAGGAAGGGGGAGCCTTAAATAGAAAGGGGGTAGAGGCTCCCCCCTTCCTAGCGATAGTCACAGGAGTGCGAATTTAATGCGCACAAGAGTGCAAGCAATTTTTTTGATCACGTGACCTGTGCGGAGCCAATTTTTCCATGAAGTTAAATGATGGTAAAACAATTGGAGGTAAAGGTGGACTTAAAATATTTGCGACAAAATGCAAAACTTCTATGGACAGGCAATAAGAAATAATATTTGAGACAAAGACACAATATACAAAGGCATTTTTCAAACACATGGTCAGAAATTAAAATGAGTCTCTTGAACAACAACACTCATCCTCTGATACATGGTGCAGGTTTTGGAGAAAAGATAAAGAATATTGTGATGACAAAAGGCTGCCAAGTGTCTTTTATGATGAACTCAAGCCACTTTTTGCAAAGCTGTCAGAAGCAAAACTGTTAAATTAGGTGTTAAATGGGGCTCACACAGAACCTAAATGAATCTGTAAATGGTTTGTTGTGGTCCACAAAATAAAAAATTTTTATTAGCAAGTGGTAAGATTTATAACATGTCTTCTGATGAACGCAGGGAAGAGAAAGATAGCGATTGTGACGCTTTTTCAGAAGTTTTGGAATATCTTCCACAGTGTCATTCTTTGACCTGGGCAGACACTGAATCGAGCGAGACACTTCCAGGGGCATCAGCAAGCTTACAGCATCCATCTGTTTTTGGTCCGGGACAAATACCAATTCAACCCCGTGAGAAAGATACGCATGTTAGCAGTGTTGCTAATAAACGAAAGTTCACAATTTCAGAACATATAGTACGAAATGTTCGGGCGCGAAATGTTCTAACAGAGCTTTATCCAAGAATTCGCGGTGTAAGCTTGGTAGAGGCTGCAGCCGACCTGCTGACGAGTAGGGAGAAGGCGGTTTTTAGGAAAAAGCTCCAAGAATCAGGCATGGAAAATGAGGTAAGTTGAATACATTATTCAGAGGGGTCTTTGCTTTTCGTGCCTAAAGAAGTAAAAATTGTTAAATTCCGAAAATGACACCCTGTTTCGAAGAAAACTTCATCTTAGGGATATTAATCGAAAAATAGATAAACTTTGTGATTTTAAACTATTTTTACAAAAAACTATACTGATATATTCTGATCTAGCAGTTTGAAGATCGATATATAGATTTTTATTTAATTAAGTTCAACATCCAGTTTTAATTCTAAAATTTAATTTTTTACAGAACTTTCGATACAAAGAAATCTGCAAGTTGGCTGCGGTAAGTCAACGTTGCTTCGCACAAATAATGAAAATCGACGAGCATTTCCCTATCCACTTTCGATTTTCTCCAAGGAGAGAAAGAGGATGAGCAGTATTGTCTGTTGAGTGCAATTGTGAATGGCGAGGCAACGCTGAAGCACCTAAATGCAGAAAAAAGGCAGCGGAGATGACGAGTAGCAACAGAACAGCCCTCAACAGCTGTAGGTTTTGCAAATATTTCATTATTTTATCTAAACTGTTAGATGTTCATAAGATAGTGTTGGATCAAATTTTAGCTCATATGTTAAAAATATTGGTCAATTGTTGGTGTGCAGCAGGTTTTTTTAGGTCGCACTCTCTTGGCCCCTTCCATTATATTCAGGGACTGCAGAACGGAGATTACTGAAAAGGCTTAGCCAAAAAAGTTCCAAAATGTATGTAAAACCATAAAATTAATTGCCTTGTTTTCGTTTGTAAGCATGTTAACCACCACCCCACCTTCCCCCCAGAAAAGACTGTCAGCTCCTTGGTTGTTAATTTGTTCCGTCTGAATAATAGTCTTTATTTACTAAAAATATTTGATTATACCATTGATTTATTACAGTTAAATGGGGCTCACACAGAACCTAAATGAATCTGTAAATGGTTTGTTGTGGTCCACAAAATAAAAAATTTTTATTAGCAAGTGGTAAGATTTATAACATGACTTCTGATGAACGCAGGGAAGAGAAAGATAGCGATTGTGACGCTTTTTCAGAAGTTTTGGAATATCTTCCACAGTGTCATTCTTTGACCTGGGCAGACACTGAATCGAGCGAGACACTTCCAGGGGCATCAGCAAGCTTACAGCATCCATCTGTTTTTGGTCCGGGACAAATACCAATTCAACCCCGTGAGAAAGATACGCATGTTAGCAGTGTTGCTAATAAACGAAAGTTCACAATTTCAGAACATATAGTACGAAATGTTCGGGCGCGAAATGTTCTAACAGAGCTTTATCCAAGAATTCGCGGTGTAAGCTTGGTAGAGGCTGCAGCCGACCTGCTGACGAGTAGGGAGAAGGCGGTTTTTAGGAAAAAGCTCCAAGAATCAGGCATGGAAAATGAGGTAAGTTGAATACATTATTCAGAGGGGTCTTTGCTTTTCGTGCCTAAAGAAGTAAAAATTGTTAAATTCCGAAAATGACACCCTGTTTCGAAGAAAACTTCATCTTAGGGATATTAATCGAAAAATAGATAAACTTTGTGATTTTAAACTATTTTTACAAAAAACTATACTGATATATTCTGATCTAGCAGTTTGAAGATCGATATATAGATTTTTATTTAATTAAGTTCAACATCCAGTTTTAATTCTAAAATTAAATTTTTTACAGAACTTTCGATACAAAGAAATCTGCAAGTTGGCTGCGGTAAGTCAACGTTGCTTCGCACAAATAATGAAAATCGACGAGCAGCTGCAGAATGGGGAAATGAAGAAGAGCACGTCTGCCCAAAAAATTTCCCTATCCACTTTCGATTTTCTCCAAGGAGAGAAAGAGGACGAGCAGTATTGTCTGTTGAGTGCAATTGTGAATGGCGAGGCAACGCTGAAGCACCTAAATGCAGAAAAAAGGCAGCGGAGACGACGAGTAGCAACAGAACAGCCCTCAACAGCTGTAGGTTTTGCAAATATTTCATTATTTTATCTAAACTGTTAGATGTTCATAAGATAGTGTTGGATCAAATTTTAGCTCATATGTTAAAAATATTGGTCAATTGTTGGTGTGCAGCAGGTTTTTTTAGGTCGCACTCTCTTGGCCCCTTCCAATATATTCAGGGACTGCAGAACGGAGATTACTGAAAAGGCTTAGCCAAAAAAGTTCCAAAATGTATGTAAAACCATAAAATTAATTGCCTTGTTTTCGATTGTAAGCATGTTAACCACCACCCCACCTTCCCCCCAGAAAAGACTGTCAGCTCCTTGGTTGTTAATTTGTTCCGTTTTCCTGAATGAAGTCACTTTTGTGATAATATGTGCTGACAAGCTGAATAATAGTTTTTATTTACTAAAAATATTTGATTATACCATTGATTTATTACAGTTTCTAACATATTCATGAGCTCGGATTAGTTTGGGTCCTAAAATCTAGATAAATTCATGCTTTCTTCAAGTGAGTTACGTTGAATCAAGTTCTATTAGAATTATTTATGATAGGCTGTTTTCATATAGTTTGACCAGTTTTGATATCACAGAAATGATCTTTATCGTCGACTGTGAATTGCGATGAATCACAACGAAGTACTTATATGAAAACCAGCCTTTACAGCTCTTTTAAAAATACATGTTAGTGACAAGAATTTTCTAAATACTCTGTGAAATCAACATCATATCTTTCGAGGTGCAAATCACTCAAAAAAAATATCGTATATCTTTTGTGAAAATCCTATTGTTTTATCTGAAAAATCCCCGGAAATCCTTCTGCTTTAGGGAAAATCTCGTACGCTATTTGCAAGAGTGAAATGCCCCTCAATGTCTTTAACCTTTCACTACTGATATCCTTAAAAAATATCCTCACATTTAGACAACATCTTCATCTGCCGAGGGTGATATGGACGCCCTGACTTTTAATTCAAAGTGCTGGAAAGCTTCCGAATTTTCTGAACTAAATGATCAGGTATGTTGTGATAATAAATTCTTCCTTAACTTTATTTGGTCATTTATAGACTGTTAAAAACTCTAAATGTGATTAAGAGTGGAATATAGGCTTGATTATATATTGAATTTCTTAGAAAATAGTAGAACAGAAGAATTTCGGTACCAATTGATAAAAAGGCACTTCTTTTAGGTCCGTCGATTGAAAGGATACATCAAGACAATGAAGGCTGAGCTAAATGACGCAGAAGAAGAGATCAGAAAGGTGAGTGATCTGTTCATATATTTCAAGATAGCATAAGACTTCAAAATATGAGTTACGTCGAGACAGCAATGTCAATACAATCTAGACAAAGGTTTCATATTTTAGATAAAGTGACCGCGATGCCATCAAACAGCGCTTTTTGATTTTTTTGATAAGCCACCATCTTAATTTTCCTGTTCTGCTATAATTTTCCTGTTCTAGAATCGTGACAGCGTTGTTGTACTGTTCGATCATTCACTGGCATTCTAATAAGTTGAAGTATTATGCTGAAAGGAAGCATTAAATTCCTGTTTTGTAGTCTTCCCATTTTGCGTAGCATATTTGGGTTGGACCTGGATCAAAGATCTTTGATCTAGCAATATGTATCTTGGAGATTGTGAGTGGTGAATTAAAATAATTGTTTCGTATTTTTCCTGTAGAATCAACGTACTATTTTCAATTTGGAGGAAGAGGTGAAAAATGTTTATGATGCCCTCAAAAGTAGAAGGACTCATTTTGATGAGGTATGCTCTCTTTTTCGGACTAAACGCTGCCTGTTTCAGTGGCAGCGCCAGCCACAAGGTTCTGGGGGAACAAACAAAAAATTTAGGCCACGTCCTATTTACAGCCCAAAATGTACTTTTATCAAAAAGAACGCAAATTTTACCTGCAGGAACGCCTATTACTAACTTTTGGTTACATAAGAGCTTCAAAATCGAAGGATTGCAACAAAATAAGTAAATTGCTAAATATTAGCCCTCCCTAACCTTTCCTCGAGAATTTAGACGAAATACAAAATTCATCATGCCAAAAACTGGGAGGCGTGTCCCCCAGTACCCCCCTCCCCCCATCTGTGGCGCCGCTACTGGCCTGTTCAATGTCTGATTTGTATAATTTTTAGTAGAATATGATGAAACTTAAGATTTCCATTATATTTCAGTATAGAATTAATGTCGAAAGGCGTTTACAAGCCAAAGACAAAACTATAGCGGAACTCCAGTCTCAGCTCTCCAGCTTGACAGAAAACTGCAGTTCAAACCTGTTCAACAGCAGGCTATTAGAGACAAATGAGGTTAGAAACAAGTCGATAATCTTACCTTGACCTACCAATAGTGGGAGGGAGGGAGCTGAATCAATGTGTGTAAAACGAAGTTGTAATACATTATCAAATATGTTGAAGCTTCAAAGATGATTCCAATTAAATCAACTGTCAATTCTAAGGGATGCACGAAGCACAAGATACTTATGATATTTTGTGTCACAGGGCACTTTTGCCAGCCTTGATAAGACTGATGATGAGTGCCCTACCCATTTATATTATTCCTACGTTTCTAGCCATACGATTCCAGCTGATGAACAAACGTTGATGCAAATTAAACTTAACTCTTTTCGAAATCCCTCCTAGTTCAAATCTTTTGATTAAGTTAAATGTTGATTTTTTAGATGTATAATTCAACTCCAGAGCCCAAAAAACTAGAAGAGGGCAACAGAAAATATACGAAAAGCGCTTTTAAGGTGCGTTGCTGGTTTAATTCTTCAAAATTTTGGCAAAAGACTCTCACTCTCGGTATCAGACTGTTAGTGAAAGAATTGGTCAGCGAGAGAGGGTCAAGTCAAACATTATACACACTTTTTATAAGAATACCAAATTTTTTGTCGAGCCTCAATATCATGTAAATTCGTCTTAAGATCAAGAAAAATATTAAATTTTTTTTGATGTGTTGCTTCATTATAATTTTCAGCAAGTGATATTAAATGCTTTGGGAGAAAATTCCAGATTAAGGAAAAATTTTAGTCTTGATGAAAGTTGAGCAATTTTGAGCCTCAATATTCTTATATACTTTATTTTTATAAAAAAGTGCCTATTCTTGGTAAAGTATATATACCAAAATAGCAAAAGCTGTGCGAAGGGGCGAGGATATGGGGGGCGGGAGATGCAAAAATGCAGCTGTCCTTACAATTATCAGTAAGATCTACTGTTGCTAAATGATACCCAAACTCTTTCAATTACATCCATACAATCTACTTGAAAATTTCAGTTCAAATTTTACTTTTTATGTTGAATGTGCACATCAAGTTAATATCTAAATTAAGAATTGATTGCCGTAATCTCCTATATGAACGTTTTGATTTTCAGGCCCTACCTTTCACTGACATCCTGGAAGAGAATTCGGCATCAACGGATGCAAGCGAGATGACGAGCATTATTCCAGGGCTGCAGCCCTTTGTTAATCAATCGTTTATTTGTCAGCATCCTCCTCCTTCCAATCCCCCGAATAAAGAAATTAGTTCCGTCAACACATGTTTTATATCTTATGTTTTTGAATTTTTAAACTTATTATAGAATTTGGCATTTCAGAAAAAGAAATCTTTGGCTACTGTGTCTACGACAGCAATAGATGACGACTTCGAGGCTTACGTAGCTGGATCGGCAGAACTCGAAAGTTCATTCGCGGAGTCAGAAGGAGATTTGTGTGAAGAATCGGCTGCACAAGGTATTGAGCTACTACAGTCCCTGTCATTTGACTATGAAAGCGACTCAGAACCCTCAAATGACCGAAAAGACAAAGTACGATTTTTCGTTATCTTTCTTTCAAATTTGCAATATCTTCTTCCCGATGACTTCAAAAATTGTACTA